CCAAGGAGAGAGTAAACACAAGACACAATAAGTATGATGTAGACACTCAAAACCAAAACTTGTTAATCAATTTCATTAAAGAAAAAAGCTAACTGATTGGAAGCACAGCTGAACCAAGCATCATGCGCAGAGCCACCAAGCATCATGCGCAGAGCCACCAAGCATCATAACCAGAGCCACCATGCATCAAATTTAATAGAAACAAACGGATCAAATTCAATTTTGAAACAGAATGAAAGCGCAAAATTCAAAGTTAATGGAAACAAACGGATCAATTATAAGGTTCAAAACGACACTATTTGCGATTTTAAATGGAAACAAACGGATCATTTCAAAATTCCCAATCTTTTCAAATCATATGAACCCTAATTTATTTTGAAAACTTTCTGAGTCATGCTCGAACCCTAATTTGGTTTAAACACGACATGTTAACATCAGAGAACACTAATTTTGCTACCCTTAATTCCCAATTGTGAAACGCCTAATTTCTGACACAACCCTAAACCCTAATTTACGATCTACAAGTGAAATCAGAAAGAAATCATAGCTTTACTTACCATTTTCTCCAGCAGATGATGATAAAGACGGATTAAAAACGCAATCTCCATTCAATTCGACGGATGAAGCCGAGCGGCTGAGATTTTCCTGGTGGAAACTTCGAGAATTAGAGAGAGAGAGAGAGGGAGACAACATCAGAGAGTGAAGAAGGCAGATCAAAAACGAGATTCCTGAGAGAAAGAGATGAAATCGACGGATCAAAACCGTCGGAGTGATGAAATCGTCGGCGTTTCGCGAAAATAGAGAGAGAGAAGAAATCACGAAAACAGAACAAAAACACGGGCCACATTTTTTTTTCCCCTTTTGTTCGTTTTTGAACCATTCAGCATGCAACACGTATCAACATCTTAACATAAGAAAAACATCTTATTTTAGATATACATCTTAGCTTTGGTTTGTGGGTTTGATTAATTTTAATCACATTTAATCCTAAGATTTTGTTAAGATACTCAATATTATTACCATTGGAGATGCTCTTACATATGATGTGGATCCAATCAAATCAGTACAAGTATAAATTGTAGGTTTTTGAAGCAAACAATTTATTTAACATGTATAAATTTTGCAATTTAATTACACCTTTCTATTGTTGATTTTCTCGAGAAGCTACTGGACATTGCAGTGAATTTCATACCAAAGAACCAATTGGTGAAGACAACATACATGAATATCCTCCTCGGTTTCATCGAGACACTAAGCAACGATTAAAACAGAGTTATATAAAAGTAAATAGCGATGATAGAGTAGAAAAGGAGATTCAAATGAAGTATTTTATATAACTGAATTTGTGTTACAACTCGATTCATGTATGTACATTACTTAATAAACGAATGATTAAAACAGAGATATAAAAGACTACTGTAAATCTCAATCAACACACTATTGCTTTCGCAACCGATGGAACTGTAACAGACATTACCCTAGACGGCTCTCTCGTATCATTTGCTGGTCGGGGTGCAGGCATACACTTAGCGTGAACTATACGACCGTTCTTGGTTAAGTAGACTGCACCTTTGTACATCCAATCATCAGCTTCATGGCTAAAGAGCTCTTCAAACGTGG